TAAACCAACCTTCTTGTTCATTGCCTTTTTTTATTATTCATTATGTGCACTGCTCATGAATCTTCATATATGATCCTGTGATGGAATCGCATTTGGTTGATCTAATTGGCATTTAAGTTACAGACAAGGCGACACTTTGACAGAGGTGGGTTTGAAAAAGAAACAGGTGGTCCTAATTCTCCCACTGCTCAAGCTGCTGCTGACGCGTCATCGGGATCTGAGGGTAGGACGAAATGGGCGGGATCTGACGGAAATGCCGAAGGAGCAGGCGCTTATCTCTCCAAGATTCACTCTTTCTCTTCAACAAGAGCAACAACGAGAAGAAAAAAAAAGCTTTGTTTCTCTCTATGATTTCTCTCTCTACATCCACGACGATGACTACTACACGGATTTCATGACTCCTACGCGTGAATTTAATTTAATAAGAATTTCATTTCGCCCCAATTTGCATGAGAAAGATGTAACCAGGGATGAAGTTGGGTGGAAGATGGAAGAAAGAGAGAGAAGGGGAGAAAAGGTGAGAAATACTTGAAAAAAAAATGGTGTGTCAGTCTACCGTTAGCCACGTCAGCACATTTTTAACGGTGTTAATTTTCGAGGACTAAAACCAAAGTTTCGAAAAGAATGAGGACCAAATTGTACCTTATTTTGAAAGAGGGACGAAAACCAGAAACGGCCAATAGTTTAGGGACTAAAAACATATTTAACCCTTATTTTTTTCCATTATTTTCTTAAAAATGTATTTTCTTATTGAAACAATTTGACCACTAGAATTGGTCTAATGTTAAAAATAATGAATAATTAATTATAATGTATGTATTAACTGATACATGTAGAGAGTAATAGTGTCATCGATCGATCGCTTAAGCATGAAAAATATTTATCGTCATGAGTAGAATCAGTTAAACATCTAAGTAATAAGATTTAAAGAGAATTGAACCATAATTAGGTTGATTTTAAACACAAGCTCGTGAAAAAAACTATAAATATAGGTCAAAGGTATGGTTGTTGATGTTAGGATTATCAAGGAAGAGGTTTGTTGGGGGAGACACAACACCAATAAGACTTAAGTCTAACCACATAAAGGATTGACACCACTCTCAATCCAAAACATTAAGGCTTTGGGTAGAGAGTGGTGTCAATCCCTTATGTGGTTGAGCTCAAATCTCATTAGTGTTGTATCTCCCAGTGAAGCCCCTTCTTTGATAAACCTAACAAGTGGTATCAGAGTCGATGGTTGGTCTTTGGTGACTAGCTTAGACGAGTACAATATGGTTCTTGTATCGAAAGTTTGGTAAGGGTTCCAAGTAAGCGTGTCCTGTTAAGATGAATGGCAGTACGAATGGGTACTCGTGGTTAAAAATGCTTTTGTTGGAGGAGAAGTGTACTAATGTGGAAGAGTTTTACCCTTGAGGAAGAGATTGTTAGGAATCCAAGTGTGAGTCTAAGTCCCACATTGGATAGAAATGAGAAAGTGGAGTACCATATAAAGGTAAGGACCTATTAACTCATTGTCTTAAAGTTTTAGGTAGAGAGTGATGTTAATCTCTTATGTGGTTGGACTCAGATCTCATTGGTGATGTATCTCCTCACCAAACCACCTCCTAAGATAAACCTAATAATTGAGACTTTTATCATGCACTTATTGTAACATTAATTGCTTTAACCAATCCAACTTAAGCTAACTTTAGAATTAGAACACTTTTAGCAGATACCCTTGATTGGTTGGTGAACAAATTACCTTAGCACAGAAACGACAACATTGGATGCACAATCAGAAAATTGTTTTAATTGGACGTTCGACCCTACACCCAAAACATTTTAGCGCCCACCTTGGGGTCAAACAAAAACTTCTTAAAACTAGGAACATGGCAAGTAACATTATGTTGGAGGAAGCTTTGGACAATCATATGGATCCAAAGGAAATTATGCAAAGGCATTGCGAACCAAGAACGAGATCATTCGGTAGGAGAGAGATGGTAAAGATCCCATGCCATCCACCCCGACCCTTCAAGGACCAGCAAAGCAGCATTAGGATGAACCAAATCGGCCAGTTCAAGCGAGAAGCTTCAGGGCAAGCAAAGACCAATACCTATTTGTCGCAATAGTCAACATAACCAGCTTGCTCTCATTCACTATGGGGATCATGGAGACCCCTTTACTTGACAACTAGAGGATGTTTATATTTGACTAGTATGTGGGTCTACTAACTCAAACAAACACATCAAGATATTCACAAACCAGATGATGTTGTATACGACAAGTGACACCATATGGGGAAGAGTCTTTCCCACCTCTTCGAAGGGAGAAGTCCTAGCTTAGTTTTCCCTTTTACCAACTTATTTTATGAACTACTTCACAAGTATTCAATCAAGATTTTGAGCTCAAGTTGCCACTAGTTGACCCAATCATTTAACATTGATCACTTTGGTTAATATTAGAAAAAAGAAAGAAGAGTCCATTCAAGCCTTCATGGAGCAATTCGGGAAAGTATCTTTTCAAATCCGGAACCTTAGTTATGACGTGACCATGCACCATATGATCATGGCACTACGACCAGGGTCATTTGCCTATAGTTTATGCATGAAGCCTGTTGAAAATATGGATGAACTTAGGCAACGTGCGACCTAGTTCATACAGGTTAAAGAGATTAAGGACTTCAAAAAGCATATGCACGCAAAGTCATCAAGAGGAGACAAGAATGGAGCATACGAAAAACCGTCTAGGAGACAAGAATGGAGCATACGAAAAACCGTCTAGGAGAATAGAACGATCAAAGGAACCTCACTTCAGTAATTACAATCCGCTTAATGTATCGCGGATCAAGGTTTTGGAAGAGGTCCTTAGAGTCGACTCGTTGTTCCCACCGAGAAAAAGGTATATTTGTTGGAGTTTTTATCACACATTTATTATAGTATTAATTATGTTAACTTATTACGTCTAAATTAATTTTAGTATTTGAATACCTTTATACTATAGCTCTTGATCGGTTAATGGACGTATCATCTTAGCATCAAAAAAATATTAAAATACACAATCAAAAAATTATTTTATGTTATCCTTTCCAAAACAAATGAAATCCCAAATTTAATCTTTGAAATCCTTATTGTGTAAAAAAATTAAAAAAAAATAAAAACTTTTACCTAATACATAACTGAACACTGAAGAATTTTTACATATTTCGTAATTGCATTTGTAAGAGACTAACTTATTTTTTACCGAATTTAACTGTCGAAACGCACTTATTGACCTCTATTCAATCACTTTTAGCATATTTTACTGAGAAGGAAAAAGAAAAGGACAAAGATGGTAGAGACCACAACGTTTGGCAGAAGAACTGTGATTTTACTTTATTTCAAAGTACAAATCCCGATGCTGCAACAAAAGAATAGATTGACTTTTGATAAAGAAGTCACACCTTTGACCAGATCCAAGAAATAATGTCATAATCTACCAAAGAAAATAAATTCTAGATGATAATTGACTAAGTCAATGTCAAAGCACTTCATGAACTTTGACTGAAAACAGTCTCTTAATGGATTCATCAAACTCAGTCTTGTGACAGATTCATCCCTTGAACACCACTACTTAGCTGCTGTGGTCACATCAAAATATAAAATACTAGGAACAAAAGTCCAAATAACACAACTAAATACTTGAATTATCTGTTAGAATGTTTCTTCATGGATTTTCCATTTTTGTAGAGTAAGTAAATAGCATATATAGGAATAAATTGGTGAATAGAATCTTCATCAGAACATGTTTTCTGAAGCCAGATAGAGGATGAATTTTGAAGTAATGACAAAATGGTCTTAATAACTTGGTCATTATGAATTCCAAAATCAGAAATTATCTTTCTTATGTGCAAAGATGAGACTAAGTGCAATGGTTTTTTTTTCTCTATATTCCTTGCACGACACTGGAATACCTTAGTTTGTTTTTTTAGTTTGTCAAGCTTCCTCTCCAATTTGATTGTGAATAACTTCTGAGAAAATTAATTAATCTCAAAGTCCTTCAAAACACTGTGCTATAACCAAATATATGGCAAGCATGGGTTCCAAATTGCAGATAACATCAAACCAGAACATCCATTTGTTCGTTTTTCTTTTGGACACTAAACTCTCAACACATCAATTATGACATATACAAACATGCATGTTTTGGTTGGTATAGAGGAATGAAAATAGAAAAAGGATAAATAAATAAAAAATAAGATTGAAAGTTTAGTTGTTCTGCAGAACAGAAATAAATTAAGAAAAATATATACATATTTTTAAAATTATGTAGTCAGATTGATTTGATAGAAAGCAAAGAGAAATAATAGATCAACAAAAATAAGTCCTGCAAATTACATCTTCAACTCTCTCATTCTCTCCCTCTCTACTCTATTACACACCCTTGATCATTCCTAACTTTTTCAACCTCAACTCTTTTTATGAACTCAAACCCCATCTAAAAAGTTCATAGTAATTCATCTTTTATAGATAGATTACTTCTCATTTTGTATGTAGCTGCCACTATAAAGTTCTCTCTGTTTCTCATCAATTTTCTATGTTCACCTCCATTTTGTTAGCCTTTGGTTTCTGGGTTATTAAAGATCTAAAAACGGATTTGGAATGGCTACAGTAATCAATTTCACACATTCACACAGTTAGGAAATCAGGACACTCGTCTTTATATTAATATTAGTGGACTGATAGAGATGTCATCACAATAAATATAAAGGGAAAGTGTCGGTGAAGAGAGAGTAGCCGAAGGGACCATCACAAATGATCTTTCACAACTGAGGAGCTAAGCATATTCAATTTGAAGGAACAAACTTAGCACGCTTTTTCATTTTTTTCATCTACAATACTTCAATTCAAATTTCTTGAGTAGAATCAGATTTCTTATGTAAAAATGTAATATAATGACAATGATAGAATGTATTTACATTTTATATAGACTACTGAAACAAAAAAGAACACAGCAACCACATGTTTGCAAGTGCAGGAGCTATATAAGGAAAATGTATTGAATTACACATACGATCAGAATCAGCTATAATGAGGATGCAGCAAAACACTGAGAAAACTGATTATACAATAAGCCACATCAGAGCACAAATGGAGAAAAGAGTAAAAAGCATAGACCTCAAAGGTCTACTTAAAATATCCTAAATTCTATACATTTTTTTGTGGTTTATAGATACAAGAATCCTCCCTTTACATACCTTACTACTATTACAATGATCATCGATTCAAATCACCATATCCTCTTACCACTCATTGGTTATCCTCCTAGTCATCTTTTAGTCATTCACAAACTTCACTCATCTAAGCAAAATCAGGCTATGATCTCAAATTGCAATGTTGAGTTAAGCATCAACAAACAAACAGTGTTTTTTTTTTTTTACTTTTTACCCTCTGCCATGGGTGTCAAGCCCTTCAGTTCTGCTGCGCACAATTCTGTGAAACACCTCCCTCACTTGTCGTTCCATAGGGTCCAATCCATCTTTCAAGGCTTCACAAACCCTTGAAACATCTTGCACTCGCTGCCTAACCTCTTCTCCCTTCTTCTCACTCAAAGGAAACTGCAGAGAATCAGCCAACTCATTGATCACTCTAGCACACTTCTCAATCTGGTGAATCTCCTTCAGCAACCCACATGTGTTCTTCCTCTCCCTCTTCTTTGACTCCTCCACGATCCGCTCGTGCAGCGCCACCACCGGAGCCGCCCACAGGAACTGCCTCGGAACAGAGAAATGGAGCCCCAGCCCGCGGTCCTGGCAGGGAATTGCAGCCACAAGTGCCCACATAACAAACACCAGAATACAACTCATTGTGTAAATAGGCAACGCAAGGCCATTGGTGGCAACAATATCATTAGCCTTAGGAGGGGACAAGTTGTTCCCAATGGCTTGGAGCTGCCTAGCAGCAGACCAATTCCTTGACACACTCCAAGAAAGTGACCTAAAATGCCCAAAGGAATTGTGCTGATTATTGCCATGGTGATGATCCCTTGAACCGTTGTTGTTTCTACCAAAGGACCTGTTCCTATGAGCAATAGAACCACTGGAGTTGGATTCCTTATCATCAAGCATTCCAATGGCCAAGTCAACAAGAGCCTTCTTTGCGCGGCGAAATTGGCCCTCACCAATGCTCCTCTTCTGATCCAATGCACAGATAACAATCTCCAACAGCTTCTGCCACTGCCTAATCTGCTCAACCCCATCACGGATTGCGTTGCAAACATCAAGGGCCTTCACACTCCTTTCAAAAAACTCACCCACCATGCGATCCAGGGAGGGGTGCTTCGACACCTGATCCCTGTGGTTGTGGAGAATCACCCTGAACTCGTCTTGGCAAGACAGCAACGAATCCAGTAGCTTCCTAACCCATGAAAGAGAGAGCAATTCCCGGCTTTCAACCGAAGATAGCTCTAGGAACCGCTCAGTCACATGCTTCTGAAACAAATCAAGCTCTTGTTCCATGCTTGAACCCTCCATGGAGTGAACCTGAACCCCACGAAGATTCAGAACAGAACCTTGAAACTCTGCCGTCGTACGCATTCTCACACTCAAGGTTTTCAACAGCAATTATAGTTTCGTCACGATCCTTAGTACTACGAGAAATTATGAACAAAGGCGATAGATTCAACCAGTTATAGCAACTCCAAGAACCTTTTAAGTTGTAGCCAAAATCACGATCGGACAGTTTTTCGTAACCTTGCTTAACCACACAGGAAGATCACAGACCCAGTTGTCAAATAACAAATTGAATCGAAAAGTATGGCACTTTCTCTCCAAGTTGAAAGCTTTAGTGAGAGACAATGGAATTGAAACCCCAAGAACGAGAAATTCCACTGCAAAAAAGGGAAAGTGCAGAACTTCGAATTGGGAGAACCCAGAAACGAAATTCGAATACGATTGGGACCCAGTTGGAAACGAGAGAATGTGGGAAAAAGTGAGAAACTTGGGAGAGGAATGAGACAAAGGATCAAAGGAAGAAGAAAGGAAATTGGATGAGGGTTCTGAACTACTGGAGATGAAAGAGTTATATATTGGGGATAATCGGAATTTGGACCGCGTTTTAAAGTGGTTGGAAAATTAAACAAAAAAAACGAAAAAGCTTAAAAGAAAATTATTTGGTTAAAATTTATCTCCACAAGAGGCAGTGAAAATTTCTCTCTTTTTTTTTGGTAATTAACTTTGAATTTTGGTTATTAGCGGAAGCTAAGGTTGTGTGAATTCCGTACACACGTTTGAAACACGGTGCCAATATCTCATACGAAGGATTCATCGGTTCAATTCTAAATTCAATTTAATTGATGTTGGATAATCAGAAATTAAGACCAAGATATATTTGTTAGAAAATAAAGCAACTAAATTATAATATCATTGTCTTTAAACTTTTAAAAAGGATAATGAAAAAAGTCTAAAAACGAAGGTAGTAACAATAATTATTATACGAATTTCACAATGATAAATTATATTACTTTATAATTTTAGTTTCTTTCTTTGGCACACAAATTACGCTATATCTTAATAATTCATTAATACACAGAATAATTAAGTTCTTAAAATATGATAAATTATTCTTGTGGTTAATTTGTAATTAATTTCTTATTAGAAAATGTTGAATAGTTAATTGAATAGTATAAAAAGGAACACATAATCTATCATGTCATGAGACATAAAACGTAATCCATTATGTAAACCTTTACTACTATTTCTTCATGCATTCCATCTAATTAGAATGGTCAATTCATATACTTGCAGTATTTCTTCATCCAAATTTTCATAAACACAAATAACTGCATGTATAATGAATCTTTTACTTACGTTTCTCTTTATTCATTCTATATATTGCATAATGTAATTTAATTTAAAATTATTTTTTTAAAACTAGTGCTAAACATTACTGTATACTTTAATCTTTTAGTTAGATTCATTTTTCCAGCACATCTACATTTAAGATTGATTTTAATTTTATTATTTTTTAAAATTGTAGCCATTTTGATCATTTTTCAAACTTTAAGAAAATACTAAATAAATTATATAAAAAGATGAATTATTTAAGCAATATAACNCTGACGTGACCATGCACCATATGATCATGGCACTACGACCAGGGTCATTTGCCTATAGTTTATGCATGAAGCCTGTTGAAAATATGGATGAACTTAGGCAACGTGCGACCTAGTTCATACAGGTTAAAGAGATTAAGGACTTCAAAAAGCATATGCACGCAAAGTCATCAAGAGGAGACAAGAATGGAACATACGAAAAACCGTCTAGGAGACAAGAATGGAGCATACGAAAAACCGTCTAGGAGAATAGAACGATCAAAGGAACCTCACTTCAGTAATTACAATCCGCTTAATGTATCACGGATCAAGGTTTTGGAAGAGGTCCTTAGAGTCGACTCGTTGTCCCCACCGAGAAAAAGGTATATTTGTTGGAGTTTTTATCACACATTTATTATAGTATTAATTATGTTAACTTATTACGTCTAAATTAATTTTAGTATTTGAATACCTTTATACTATAGCTCTTGATCGGTTAATGGACGTATCATCTTAGCATCAAAAAAATATTAAAATACACAATCAAAAAATTATTTTATGTTATCCTTTCCAAAACAAATGAAATCCCAAATTTAATCTTTGAAATCCTTATTGTGTAAAAAAATTAAAAAAAAATAAAAACTTTTACCTAATACATAACTGAACACTGAAGAATTTTTACATATTTCGTAATTGCATTTGTAAGAGACTAACTTATTTTTTACCGAATTTAACTGTCGAAACGCACTTATTGACCTCTATTCAATCACTTTTAGCATATTTTACTGAGAAGGAAAAAGAAAAGGACAAAGATGGTAGAGACCACAACGTTTGGCAGAAGAACTGTGATTTTACTTTATTTCAAAGTACAAATCCCGATGCTGCAACAAAAGAATAGATTGACTTTTGATAAAGAAGTCACACCTTTGACCAGATCCAAGAAATAATGTCATAATCTACCAAAGAAAATAAATTCTAGATGATAATTGACTAAGTCAATGTCAAAGCACTTCATGAACTTTGACTGAAAACAGTCTCTTAATGGATTCATCAAACTCAGTCTTGTGACAGATTCATCCCTTGAACACCACTACTTAGCTGCTGTGGTCACATCAAAATATAAAATACTAGGAACAAAAGTCCAAATAACACAACTAAATACTTGAATTATCTGTTAGAATGTTTCTTCATGGATTTTCCATTTTTGTAGAGTAAGTAAATAGCATATATAGGAATAAATTGGTGAATAGAATCTTCATCAGAACATGTTTTCTGAAGCCAGATAGAGGATGAATTTTGAAGTAATGACAAAATGGTCTTAATAACTTGGTCATTATGAATTCCAAAATCAGAAATTATCTTTCTTATGTGCAAAGATGAGACTAAGTGCAATGGTTTTTTTTTTCTCTATATTCCTTGCATGACACTGGAATACCTTAGTTTGTTTATTTAGTTTGTCAAGCTTCCTCTCCAATTTGATTGTAATTAACTTCTGAGAAAATTAATTAATCTCAAAGTCCTTCAAAACACTGTGCTATAACCAAATATATGGCAAGCATGGGTTCCAAATTGCAGATAACATCAAACCAGAACATCCATTTGTTCGTTTTTCTTTTGGACACTAAACTCTCAACACATCAATTATGACATATACAAACATGCATGTTTTGGTTGGTAAAGAGGAATGAAAATAGAAAAAGGATAAATAAATAAAAAATAAGATTGAAAGTTTAGTTGTTCTGCAGAACAGAAATAAATTAAGAAAAATATATACATATTTTTAAAATTATGTAGTCAGATTGATTTGATAGAAAGCAAAGAGAAATAATAGATCAACAAAAATAAGTCCTGCAAATTACATCTTCAACTCTCTCATTCTCTCCCTCTCTACTCTATTACACACCCTTGATCATTCCAAACTTTTTCAACCTCAACTCTTTTTATGAACTCAAACCCCATCTAAAAAGTTCATAGTAATTCATCTTTTATAGATAGATTACTTCTCATTTTGTATGTAGCTGCCACTATAAAGTTCTCTCTGTTTCTCATCAATTTTCTATGTTCACCTCCATTTTGTTAGCCTTTGGTTTCTGGGTTATTAAAGATCTAAAAACGGATTTGGAATGGCTACAGTAATCAATTTCACACATTCACACAGTTAGGAAATCAGGACACTCGTCTTTATATTAATATTAGTGGACTGATAGAGATGTCATCACAATAAATATAAAGGGAAAGTGTCGGTGAAGAGAGAGTAGCCGAAGGGACCATCACAAATGATCTTTCACAACTGAGGAGCTAAGCATATTCAATTTGAAGGAACAAACTTAGCACGCTTTTTCATTTTTTTCATCTACAATACTTCAATTCAAATTTCTTGAGTAGAATCAGATTTCTTATGTAAAAATGTAATATAATGACAATGATAGAATGTATTTACATTTTATATAGACTACTGAAACAAAAAAGAACACAGCAACCACATGTTTGCAAGTGCAGGAGCTATATAAGGAAAATGTATTGAATTACACATACGATCAGAATCAGCTATAATGAGGATGCAGCAAAACACTGAGAAAACTGATTATACAATAAGCCACATCAGAGCACAAATGGAGAAAAGAGTAAAAAGCATAGACCTCAAAGGTCTACTTAAAATATCCTAAATTCTATACATTTTTTTGTGGTTTATAGATACAAGAATCCTCCCTTTACATACCTTACTACTATTACAATGATCATCGATTCAAATCACCATATCCTCTTACCACTCATTGGTTATCCTCCTAGTCATCTTTTAGTCATTCACAAACTTCACTCATCTAAGCAAAATCAGGCTATGATCTCAAATTGCAATGTTGAGTTAAGCATCAACAAACAAACAGTGTTTTTTTTTTTTTACTTTTTACCCTCTGCCATGGGTGTCAAGCCCTTCAGTTCTGCTGCGCACAATTCTGTGAAACACCTCCCTCACTTGTCGTTCCATAGGGTCCAATCCATCTTTCAAGGCTTCACAAACCCTTGAAACATCTTGCACTCGCTGCCTAACCTCTTCTCCCTTCTTCTCACTCAAAGGAAACTGCAGAGAATCAGCCAACTCATTGATCACTCTAGCACACTTCTCAATCTGGTGAATCTCCTTCAGCAACCCACATGTGTTCTTCCTCTCCCTCTTCTTTGACTCCTCCACGATACGCTCGTGCAGCGCCACCACCGGAGCCGCCCACAGGAACTGCCTCGGAACAGAGAAATGGAGCCCCAGCCCGCGGTCCTGGCAGGGAATTGCAGCCACAAGTGCCCACATAACAAACACCAGAATACAACTCATTGTGTAAATAGGCAACGCAAGGCCATTGGTGGCAACAATATCATTAGCCTTAGGAGGGGACAAGTTGTTCCCAATGGCTTGGAGCTGCCTAGCAGCAGACCAATTCCTTGACACACTCCAAGAAAGTGACCTAAAATGCCCAAAGGAATTGTGCTGATTATTGCCATGGTGATGATCCCTTGAACCGTTGTTGTTTCTACCAAAGGACCTGTTCCTATGAGCAATAGAACCACTGGAGTTGGATTCCTTATCATCAAGCATTCCAATGGCCAAGTCAACAAGAGCCTTCTTTGCGCGGCGAAATTGGCCCTCACCAATGCTCCTCTTCTGATCCAATGCACAGATAACAATCTCCAACAGCTTCTGCCACTGCCTAATCTGCTCAACCCCATCACGGATTGCGTTGCAAACATCAAGGGCCTTCACACTCCTTTCAAAAAACTCACCCACCATGCGATCCAGGGAGGGGTGCTTCGACACCTGATCCCTGTGGTTGTGGAGAATCACCCTGAACTCGTCTTGGCAAGACAGCAACGAATCCAGTAGCTTCCTAACCCATGAAAGAGAGAGCAATTCCCGGCTTTCAACCGAAGA